GAGAACACGTCTTAAAAAATTAAAAATTAAAAAAAGTGAAACATATGCTTGGCTCACAAGTCAAATAGTATTTCTTTATAAAGTGATATACTCAAACAACCCTTAAGATTTCATGGCAAGTACTAGTTTCATAGGACATATCTGGCATATAAGCAAATGCTGCAAGGCTGGGGAGATGGCTCCCTGGTTAAAGCCCTCACCATAAGCATAAGGACCTGAGTTTAGATCCTCAGAATCCACACAAATGTCATAGTAGAGAGAGTAAAGTATAAAGAGGCTACTGATTTTTTTCCAATCTATTTTATCAATATAAATTCATGGTCATAGTTCTTACCCATTTCATTAAACAATCTTTCCCCTTCAAATTCACTCTGTCAACCTTACGGTAACCATATCTAAGCTCCAAGTCACATAGCCAAAAAAACAATTCCAATCTTTATAGGCAATATAAATTATAAATTATGGGAATCAAGAATGATTGGTGAGAGCCTAGATTAACTGAAAGGAAGAGACTCAAAGAATCCATAGCCATGGAAGGTAAAGAATGAGAGCCCAATAAACAATCAAAGTTGAATTTAATCCACATGGATTTATCTTGGAGATAATAAAGAGATAACTGAAAAAACAGAACTGATTTTCATAAGTGAAATAGTAGAATAAAAAATAGAAAAATGAGGCGCTGGAAAGATGTCTCAGTGGTTAAAAGTACTGACTGTGGACTCTGGTTTGGTTCCCAGGACCCATAATGCAGCTCAGAACACGTTACTCCAGGTCCAGGGAATCCAACGCCTCTTCTGGCCCCGGTGAGCACCAGGCACACAAATAGTACACGTATGTACTTGCAGGCAAACGCTCAAACATATAAAATAAAAATAAAATTTTCAATGTAGTAGAGTAAACATGATGCTAGAATTTCTATAATGAAAGAACATCGAAGGCAGCACTCTGACTGTAAAGAGAGGGAATATTTGCACATCACACTCCAATTTCCCTATTCAGGCTGCATATTTACTTTCAGTTACTTGGGCGGATGCTGATGACAAATGGGTTAGAGATATTAAAGTTCTCTCAAGCCGTCCTTGACATTATACGAGTCACATGGCATTTTTCTTATTCTCAAATAATTACCTATTTTTCTAAACACTTCAAGATGTTTGAAATCTTATTCAAATAAAAATAATTCAAGTCAGGAGGTGGTGGCACACGCCTTCAATCACAGCACTTGGGAGGCAGAGGCAGGTGGAACTCTGTGAATCTGAGGCCACCCTGGTCTACAGAGCGAGTTCCAGGACAGTCAGGACTACACACAGAGGAACCCTATCGCAAAAAAAAAAACAAAACACTCAGAAAAATAAATGAAAACAAACTTAACCATAATCTGATTCTCCTACTACACTTTCCTAAAATTGGTGTTTGAAGGATCAGCAAGATTGTTCTACATGAGATCCATCACACTCATTCATTCTCCTTCCCAAGGCCTCTAAACTCTGAACGGTACTCACTGCTGTGGTTCTTCCTTTGTCCTTCTCACAGCAGCAGAGGAAGCCAAAGTGCTAATCCAACTCTGTGTGACACACCCTGGCACACAGTTTTACCTGACACACCACGAACTCGCTCAGGAAAAGAGCACACGGTGTAGGTGACGCATCAAGAACTATAACTGACAACAAAAAGCTACACATAGATTTGGCGTCCGGCCTTACCGCTAGCTGAAAGCTACCATGAACGCAGCAAAACTACCGTCTAGTAATGCTGGGCTCTTTTAAAAAATAATGCCCGTAACTGATCAATACAGGGGAAATCCTTGTAAAAAAATTTCATCTTTGCAGATTTTATTCAGGGAAAAAAAGCTAAGTTTTTCATAAGAAAAGAGTAATTGAAATTATTATTGCTTAGTTCACAAACAAAATAAGGTAAGTGATGTCGTGTCCAAGCAACTGGAGGAAATACAAATCCTTGAGAGGTGGCGATGAATCCGCTTCTGAATACGCATTTGACTAATCGCCAACCCAGTAACTCTTGGAAAAACATGCTGGCAGCACCTCAGTGGGCACCAGCCTGCTTCTTAGATAACAAGGAAACAGACTGTGGTCTAAACATATGCTACTCTTGACTTCAGAACCAAATTCAGGCCCTGATGGCCACTGATATTCCAGAGCTATGAAATCAGGTCATGATCACCAATTCTGTATATTCAAAGAGTAATGGAAACTCTACCCATCCCACCAAAATCTACAGACAGAAGAATATCACAATCTAATGGCAAGCATATTAAGAGCACCTGCAGAATTCAAGAATCTCATGGCTTTTAGACAGGGTCCCTCCCAAACAGTTTAACTCTGAAGCTTTCTTAGGAGCAGGAGGAAGGCAAAAACAAATGGCATCTTAAGTATGCACTTAAGAGTATGAATTTGTTTGAAATAAAGACCATAAACACCCTCACTGGAGAGACGGCTCAATGGTTAAGAGCACTTATTGTTCCTGCAGAGGACATGAGTTCAAGACCCAGGACCTACATGATAACTAACAACCATTTGGAACTCTAGTTCCAGGGGATCCGAAACCCCCTCTTCTGACCTCCAAAAAAACCAGGCACACACAGGTACACCAGGCAAAATATCCACAGACATAAAATAATTTTGAAGACTATAAACCTCTCGGTGTAGAGGCCTCTGCCTTTAATCCTATTAAAGAGGCTGAGGCCAAGGATCGGCAATTACACTGAGTTTGAGATCAGCCTAAACTATGCAATCATACCCTGTTTCAAGACAGCTATACACACTGAGCAACCACGAACTAAGGGATGAGATGATGGGAAGCTGGATATGTAATTTTCAATTTGTTAGAGTTGAGCTAGGTGTGATGACACAAACATTTTCATAATCCCAGCACTGGGAAGCTGAGGCAGAAGGATCTTGAATTTGAGGCTAGACTGAGTTACATAGCAAGAATGCTGGAAGGAAGGAAGGAAGGAAGGAAGGAAGGAAGGAAGGAAGGAAGGAAGTTAGAGAGGTAGCTCAGCAGTTAAGAGCTCTGGCTACTCTTGAAAAGGACCTGGGTTCAACTTCCTGCACCCGGGTGGTGGCTCACAACTGTAACTCCAGTTCTAAGGGATCTGATGCCTTCTTCTAGCCTCCACAAGCAACAGGCATGTCTTGCATAACACCCATACACATAAATTAAATTTTAAAAAAAATAGAAGTTGGAAATTTAGCTTACTAGCAGAGAGCTTACCTAGGTCCTCAGCTCTGGAAAAAAAATTAAAAAGACCAATGAAAAATTTAAACTCAAGCTGAACACAAAAATGTACCTATTTGATATAAAACACTGGTATAATGCTGAAAGAATTTTAGTGAGGTCTAAAGATTTTAAGTATTTATTTCTAAACCTGCACTTATACAGTGGGGGGGAGTATGACTTCATTAGCAGAAAAATCAGGTTACTATGCTGAGCCTGGGGTCAACATTGGCTTTACTTTTTAAAATGGCAAAGACATGCAGTACTTCCATCCCAAAGCATCTGAACAATAGCTATCTTAATCATAAGGAAAGTGGCCAGCTACAGTGTCAAATGCCTTTAATTCTAGCACTCAGGAGGAAGAGGCAGGTGATCTCTCTAAATTGGAGCCCAGCGTGGTCTACAGAGCGAGTTTCAGGACAGCCAGAGCTACATTGAGAAACCCCATCTCAAAAAAACAAAAAGGGAGAGAAGAAAAAGGTTAGGAAAGTGAAGAGTAAAAACTTGTTCAAAAAAGAGCGAAATTAAGATGAGAAGAATTACATAAAGGGCGTGGTGTCTATCCGCTTCACTAAAAGGGTCAAACCAACTGCAATCTTTCTACCAGAGTAAGAACAGGGAGAACAGTCATGAGCAACCGCATGGAGTACAGTGGGTCCCCAAGAGAGCACAGACCCGCTGCAACAGCCCTCAAGACACAAACGGAACCATTTCTTGCAATTTTCCCTAAAAACTGAAGGAACAAAATAGTAGCTGTGAAATCACCCGGACTACTAAAATTAAAAGAAAAAAAAAAACACCTCTCAGCATCTCTGAAAAACACAAAAACAAACCAACAAAACAAACAACAACAACAAAAAACCCAAGTCTCCACAGGCTAGTCATTTATGGTAGGGGACAGTTCAGGGACCAACAGGACGACAGTCGCTGCCGTGTGACCCCAAAGCAGCCCACCAGCGATCTGTTTCAGGTAAGACCGCTTCCTGTCTGCAGAGAACGCGCGTCCCCGGGGAGGACGACCCTGTTTGGGCAGAAGCTCCCTCCAGGAGCATCCACCTGAAGATGAAGTCAGAGGGCGAGCCCAGCTCCAGGATCGCCACAGGTACAGGCAGCCCAGCAAGCCGGGAACGATTTCCAAGCCGACAGATGCGCGAACTGAAAAAGGAGGTCACGGAGCTGAGAGAATAGCTTTAACCCTTGGCTCGCTGGGACCCCCGAAGATCACGAAGCAAGGCACCGGATGCGGCGGGCTCTGAGATCCGAGGGGATTCTGGAAGGCCTGGGAGCGCTGCGAAGCGCCCCGCGCCCTCGGATGCAGCCTGACTCTCTGCCCAGCTTCCCGGACCCCGGCGGCACCAGCACCTTCGCACCGCTGCCCACCAGGTTTCCTGCCGGGGCTCCCGCGCACCGCGCGGTGACTGACAGGCCGGCACGGGCCGGGGACCCCTCCGCGGGAAGACACCCCAGGCTGAACTTTGAGACGCGAGGCCCGGTGCGCTCCCCCCTCCCCGCGCTCTCCACAGCAGCGCCCCGGCCGCCGCCGCCCCCCTCCCACCGGCTCCCCAGGCCGCGTCCCTGCCTCTAGCCCCCCCGGCTCTCCGTGTGAGCCCGCACCCCGGCTCCCGGGCCTGCAGGGGGGGCTGGAGACAAAGGCTGCGGCGGCTCCGCGGCCGCCCGGACCGTCCCCTCGGGGCCAGCGCCGCGCCCCCCACCGGCTCGCCTCGCGCTCCCTCGCGCTCCCTCGCGCGCGCGCCTCGCCTCACCAGTGGCTCCCGGCCGCGCCAGCAGCAGCTTCAGCCCGACGAACAATGGCAGGAGGCGGCGGCGGCGTCCGAGGCTCCGGCCCTCTGCGGCTCGTCGGCTGCAGGCGGGCTGACTAAACCCGCCGGCCGAGGGAGGGAGCGAGCGAGCGAGCGAGGGAGAGGGCGAGCTGGCAGCCCCGGCGCGCGCCCTCCCGCCTTTCCTCGGCGAGCAGAGGCCGGCGCGGCCCGCGGCCCGCCCGCGCCCCTCCCCCCCGGCTCGCCACAACATTGTAGTAAATTCTTATTGGGCCGCGCGGGAGGGAAGGAGGGGGCCCGGCCCGCGGCCCGCCAGCGCATTGGCTGAGGCCCTGTTCGGGCTCCCGCGTCTTACCTCCCCCTCCCCTAGAGCGGTAAGGACAGGGGAGGGGGGGGAGGAAAAAAGAGAAAGGGGGGTAGCAAGGGTCTGGCAGCTGTGCGCACGCGCAAATCGAACCCGGTCTGGCGCTGGAGACCCCGGGTTCTGGGCTCCAGAAGAACCCGTGTGGAGAATGGGGCAACTAGTGACCAGAACGCTGGTGAGACCTTTCCATCCCATGGAGGGCCAGGAAAGAAGCTGAGATCTGGGGGCCTCAGGGAAAGCAGAATCCACATAGATGCTGCTCAGCTGACCAGGCTACCCCAAAAGAACGCCCCACCCTCAAGCCTTTAGTAACCTCAGGTAAGTCACTCCCCTTCTCTGAGCCTCAGTTTACCTATCTACTACCTTGACCCTCTGTCTCTAGGCTCCCTTCCAACCCTGACATTCAGTAAGACTTCACCTCTCTATGCAAGACCTGAAAGTGCTGAGACCACGCCAAGAGCTCACCTATCTTCCGTCTTCACCTAAGATTCTCCTATTTCTGCCTGGCATCCACAAAATTATTTTCAAAATCTAGCTTCCACGGTCTGGCCTCCAGATGAATTCAGGGTTGCTCTGAGAAGTGCACACGAGTGTATTTCTCTCTAGAAGTTTCAGAGGCTGCTTGACCCTTCTATTTCCCGCCACGCTGATGTCTGAACAGGGCTGCCTCCCCACAGGCAGAAAGAGGGTTCTGTTGCCGGCACATACTTAGAAGATAAGACAGGTCTTGCTATTTCATTTCGGAGATGAGGAAACCAAAGCAGAAAGGCTTAGCCCTGCGGAGATCAGAAGCCAGGCAATGTGACCCGAGAGCCTGCACACGCCAGCGACACTGCCTACTGCTGGAGAATCAAAGCCGTTCACAATCTCAGCTCAGCCTCTGGGATCAGACTGCTCAGGTTCAGTGCTCAGGCTCAGCCCTCCTTAATTGTCTCACCTTCTTTGTGCCTGGTTTCTGAACCCATAAAAATAGAATAAAGGCTGGGAGTGGTGACATGCCTGTCACCCTAGCACTTGGGAAGTGACAGCGGGAGTAACAGAAATCCAAGGCTAGCCTCCACGCACAGTAAGTCTGAGGCCAGCCTGAGCTACACGGGACTCTGTCTCATAAAAGAGGAGGGATGACAACAATCCCTCCGCATAGAGTTATTGTAACAATTTATTAATTAATCGATTAAGTGATTAAACTACGTACAGGGCTCAAACAGTGCCTAGGACATAGTAAGACCTCAGGTAAGTGTTAATTATACTACTACTTAGAGATGAAAATACCAACTAAGAAGCACATGGCAGGCAGATAAACACTCAACTGCGGACAAGTCTGAGCTCATTTCTACAGTATAAGTCATAAAACCCTTGAGAACCACCTGACTACCTAAAACAACTCATTCACACAGCCTTCCTCTGTTTTTCATTTCAGTTTTGGTTGTTTTTTTTGTTTTGTTTTTTTGAGACAGGGTTTCTCTATGTAACCCTGGCTGTCCTGGAACTCTGGCTGTCCTGGAACTCACTGTGTAGACCAGGCTGACCTCGAACTCAGAGATCCACCTGTCTCTGCCTCCTGAGCGCTGGGATTAAAGACATGCACAGGCCACTATTGCCTGGCTTCCTTCTCTGTTTTAATCACTGCACTTTTCATAGCATTTACCCCTGCGGCCTTATCTACTGAAGACTGGTTGAATCTCTCAAACTGGATCCAGAGGACTAAACTGGAGAGGACTGGGACTTTGTCCTTCTTGTTCACTGCACAGAGTAGTGCAGGCATATTAAATATTTATTGAACCGGTGAATGGACTGTCCTCGTTTTATTAATAAAGAACCCAAACGGTTTAAGTGGTCTGGGCCAAGGAGCACCCATGTTTACATACCTTGGTTCCCTGCTTTGAGCCCTCCAGGTTTAGCTGTGTTTTTGATTGGAAAGTTCCAGGGCTCCCACCTCTGAGCCTCAAAGGCTTCCTCTACCTCCCAGACAGGAAAATCTGGTACCATGAAGGATGGATACTGAAAATCCACCACCAGGCAGATCTTTTCCTCTCCTACCACGTTTTCCAGGAAATTCACACCTGTGGCACTAAAGGCTCTGTATGCTAGCCAATGGCGCGTCACATGTAAGGATGCTTGCAGTATTAGTAGTGTTTAGTAATCATCACCCTGAAAGGACGGATAGGTCTTAGGCTACAGAAGCAAGGCAGGTGTAAATCACTCCTTGAGTGTTGTGTAACCCCACACCAAAATCTGTTGGTCTAACTTTTAAAATCTCTAAGTCAGCTGGGTGGTGGTGGTGCATGTCTTTAATCCCAGCACTTGGGAGGCAGAGACTGGCAGATCTCTGTGAGTTCAAGGCCAGCCTGGTCTATAGAGGGAATTCCAGGACAGGGCCACACAGAAAACCCTATCTCAAAAAAACAAAAAACAAAAAAAAAAGAAAGAAGAGGAAGGAAGGAAGGAAGGAAGGAAGGAAAGAAAGAAAGAAAGAAAGAAAGAAAGAAAGAAAGAAAGAAATCTCTAAACCATGAATTCCAACGCTGGCTTCTCGTTCTTAGCCTGGAGATGAAAGTGGCTGTGACGTGCATCTGCACATGAGAGATTTTCTTGTCATTATACTCCATCGCCTGTTATGTGTCTGATCTCTGAGTATGGCTGAGCTCAACCAATAATGAGGACTAGGGATATAAATAGCATCCACTCAGAAGACAAAGAAACTAGCCTTACTCCTGGGCCCATCTGCTGAACCAGACATCCAGTCCCAGCTCACCCTGCAGAAGCTCCCACTGGGTACCAAGGTTAAAGGTCCCAAGCACCATCTCTGAGGCTAATTTCCTAGGCAGAAACACTTCTGGCTCCATGCTCACATCTGGGCGGTGGCTGTGCCATGCTCCAAGGCCCAGGATAGGGTCCCTCAGGACCATCTCCATCCCGTCTGCCAGCTGAGCCCCATCACTACCTCCATTACAGCCCTGCTCCTTTCTAGGGAATATAGACCCCGCTAGCTGCCGGTTAGCCCCAGGAGCGGTCAAGGGCTCTGAGATTAAAAAAAAAAAAAACAGCGTGAAAGGGTCTTAATCCTTCCCCACTGCAAACTGAGTGCCGGCAAACACATACACCAGCTGCATGAAACAGGGTGAAATGAGATAGTGAAATGAGGCGATGGCCAGTGGGGAGAGTCAGGGAGGGGAGATGTGACCTGGAAGAGATGAGACTGGAAGGAAGAGGGAGGGGGACAGTTGGAGTCTGACCCATGCTCAAATCTGGGACGGGGGCGGATTAGGGACACAGCTGGTCTGAAGCCCTGGCAATAGGGCCCATGGAGAATGTTCATCTGTTGTGGCGAGCTTTGAAAAGCTGGGTACGTCGGCGAAATGTTCTCAACAGTCATTACGGAGTAAAAACCAGCCCAGGCACTAAAGGCCCAGAGAGAGCAGAACACGCCTCCCGTATTCTCCTTGCCATCAAACTTCCACCATTTATTAAGTTATTTTATTTGAAACTAGGGGCTCGCGTATGCTAGGCTGCCGCCCTGCTAGGCAACTGTCCTGCCACTGAGATACTGTCTCGCTCTATAGTCCAGGTTGGCTTATCACTTAAAGCAATTCTCCTGCCTCAGCCTTCTGGGTAACTAGCAGCCCAAGCCTGGCTTTTTAGGCCTTTTAAACACAAACAATTAATCAAACAAACGACACTGGGAGGGAGGAAATTAATATTATACAAAAGGGGCTGTCTTTCTAAGGGAATATTTTTCTTAGGAATGCCTGGATTTTAGAAAATACAGTTAAGAATAAGTGTGGATCAATAGAAACATAAATCACCATAAGTCACCAATTAGAAATTTAACTTCCACAAGGTCCCGATGTAAGACTCTCCCTGTGAATACCTTTCACACATGGGCACACACACACATATTTACACACACACACACACATTTTCATTTATACGTCTTAAATTAAATAATAGGAAACTGCTGACTTTAAGGTTAAAAATTATTAAGTATCACCAATTTCCTATGTCTCCGCCTAGTGCATTTTTCTTCTTTGTGTGTGGCACTCATCCATGCTTGTTTGTGCCCGTGAAGGCCAGATGTCTTCTTCTATCCTCCCATCTTTGTGTGGTTTTGTTACGACTTAGTCTCTCATTGAACCTGGAGCTCACTGTTTTAGGTAAACTGGCTGACCAGGGAGCCCTTGGGATCCGCTTGTCTCTGCCTTCTACAACCCCCACCTCACCCTCAGCACTGAGACTCCAACACGCACCAGCTCTTACACAGGTGCTGGAGACCAAACTCAGGTGCACACACAAATATGGCAAGCACTCCACCCACTGAGTATCTTCTCAGTCCCTCAGCCTGAAGTATTTTTGTTTTTGGTGTTTCTGAGACTGGGTCTCTGTAGTGACATTTTGTTTGTGATCTAGCAAATGAAGCTTGCCTGAAGATCAGAGTGCAGAGCTAAGCCACTGGTTAGCCTTAGAGGCCAGGCAGTGGTGGCACACACCTTTAATCCCAGCACTCGGGAGACAGAAGCAGATGGATCTCTGTGAGTTCAAGACCATCTTGTGCTACATGAGACTGAATCTGTCTAAAAGAGAAACAGAGCTCAGGCAAAGGGCTCCCTATGTAGCCCTGACTGATCTAGAACTCACAGAGATCTGCTCTTCCTCCTGAGTGCTGGGTAGCGAAGGTTGATTTTTATTTGTTTGCTTGTTTAGAATGCATCGTTTGGAGCTGACTTTCTACTTCACAATAGATTGCAAACATTCAAATCATCATCTTTTTTTTAAACAATGCTATAGGTGTTCTGTAATTTACTTAACCCTCTT